GACTGGCCCCACTGGTCTGTAGTTCTGCCCATGTCCACCTCTACACCAGCTCCTTGTCGTAGGGACCCTGTATTTAGATGGCATTCCAACCAAGAGTTGGCGTTTATTTCATTTAAATCATTTAGATGGCTTTCAAAAAGGTGACAAAGGGGACCAGCAGGTGCCGTGGTGGCTAAGGCACTGGACTCCTATGGCCAACCCTACCTAGTTCAAGTTCCATGCCAGGCACATATGCATGTGTGACCAAAACCCTGAGAGGAAAATGGAGACGGGATTGCAGTGTGGGTGTCCCCTCAAGGGGCGACTTCTCACCTCTCTCTGTCTCTACAGCGAGTGCATGTGCCCTGTAGCAAAAATCTCAAAGAAAGAAAACCAAAGTACAATCTTGGGCTGCCCCATAGCACAGTGGGTAAGCACTGTGTAGAGGGAGCCGGAGCGGAGCACACGTGGCTGCCCGGTGGCCTGAAAGCGTGCCAGGCGTGTGCACACCCTGGACTCTGCCAGGAGAGGGATGGAGCAAGAGGGGGTCGCCGTGAGACCAGGCTCCACTGGGGGGCACTGTCTCCCGTATGTGTGCACGTACTCCCTGGCATTAGAAAAGGAACACTTTTTTTTTTTTAAGTGTTCTCCTATAATCTTTACAAGTAGAAACTTGTTAGAGTTTTACATGATTACACATGATGAATGCACTTAAAACCATTACGTGTTCTGAGACTGTAAGATCAGCTAGGCAGCGACCTCAGGAAACCATCTCATTGCGGGGACTGCAGGTGGGTCGGGAAGGCACTGAAGGTCGCGCCTGCAGGCTCAGCCAAGGGAGTGGAGTGGTGCCGTTGTGATTATGCAACACCGCGTTACTAGGTTATTGAATTAAAGACTACTTTCTCCAACAGCAGCTCCCTTGTTAAGCAAGGTTTGAGTTTCAGTGTGTGTCAACTCCTGGAGGCCCTCTGAGCCACATCCTACCTGTCCCTGTGGACAGGTCCGTCAGTCTAGGCCACAGGACTGGCCCCTTGGGCAACTTTTCAAGGCAAAATCCATGACTAAGAAGGGAAGGAGAGAGGTTCTCGCAGCTGTCTGGGGACAGTCACCCTCGGCTACCACGGTCAGCAACAGGAACAGCATTGGCCGTGGGGGGGGC